CCGCTCGCTTTGTGCTTGTTTTGAGAACAGATTAGTCATGGCTCTGAGCTGGCTTCCAGCAAACGCACAACAGCACCATGGAAAAACGAGAACAGTGAAGTGATGACTCAGCAGGGCTCCTGCTCCATCCCTGGGGTGCCAACTGTCCCTGCTCCCGATGGCCCCGGGCACTGGTGGGACCACCCAGGGATGTGGCAGCTGGGCCAGGGCGGGTGGGCGACGGCAGGAAAGAATCAGGGGCAGTGTCTGCCTGGAAGCTGCAATGGTGGTGTCAGGGTGGGACATCAGGTCCCTGGGGGTGATGGACCCTTGAGTATAGCCTCCTCCCCTTCCCCTGCCCCCTCCTGCACCCAGTGGGTGGGGGCTCCCCTCTGGTCTGCTGGCACCTTGCTGCCCCGACCCCCACTGCACGGGTGGCCGAGCATCTCGTTGCTGGCAGCTCCTGCTCAGTGCCCAGCAAGGCCAGTGGGTGCTGGAGCTGCTGCAATGATGGGTGGCTGCCAGGACCCCGTGACAGGCTGGGGATCCCCGGCTCTGTGGGCTCAGCAGTCAACCCCAGGCACCGGGGCCTCCCAGCCAGCACCTGCGTGCCAGGGCCATGCCAGTGACGGGAACTCCTGGGGCGGGCCCTTACCGTACCTCACACCTTGCTCCACAGCCCTTCCCTGCCCTGCCTTGGCCGGCTGCCTGGCGGCACAGAGTGCTGCCAAGCCTCCCTGCCAGGTGGCTTATTGTGATCCCATGGTGCTGGACACCAACTGGTGTTGGCTGCCAAGGATGAACAATGTAATTGCTAGAATTACAGTAAAGTGCTCCCATTCCCACTCATTAAATGCTGAGACAGGGCCCCTGGGTCCTTCTAGGGAACATCTGCTCCAGCTGTGCCCTCCACCAGCCACACGCCCTGTCCTCACCCACGCAGCACTACTGGTGCCCGTTGCCTCCCACTAGACTGGCGCAGGCTGGAGTTGTTCTCTGCTGACGGCCCCTGGAGCCATGGGACAGGCAGAGCCCACCAGTCCCCAGCACCATGCACTGGAGAGGAGGTGGCATGTGAGGAAGGCAGGGCTGGACTGCAGACACAGGGTCCCACATCTGGGACCCCCATCCCCAGCCACGTGTGTGGCACTGCCATCACCGGCTCCTGCGCCGGGGCTGAGGCCAGGGCTGATGTGAGGCCAAGGGACGGTCCAGGGCTGGGGTTTGGCACCTGCCCATGGCTGTTCTGCCAGGGTCATCTGAGGACTCTGCGCTGTGCTGGGCGAGCACACCCCAGGCAGCTGGCAGCCTGCTGCCAGTGCACCCACGGGGACTCCCGTGACGTGCCACGTGCTCAGCAGTGACCGCAGTTGGTGGTGGGCACCTCACCACTCCCTGTGAGTGCGGGTGCAACAGCAGTGAGGCCCTGGGCCCATGTCCCTGCTGGGCAGTGGAGACCTGGGGCTGGGGGCCCGGGGTAGCACAGCTCATGGAGCTGCTGATGGAAGAAGTGAGGACTCCACAGCTGCTGGCTCTCTAGAGCTGGCCACGTGTCTGGCTGGGGAAGCAGCAACAGAGTGGAGTTTCCATGGGGATGTACACAGCCTGCTGGGCTCGACTGCATCCTGAAATACTCCCAGACCTGGACAGGGGGTCCTGCTGCTGCCCCCTGCTCCCCACCTGCTTGCAGCTCTGCCTGGTTCTGGGAGAACCAGGGCCAAGCCAGCCCCCATGACTCCCCCAGCCACCAAGACTCTGGGCCAGGTCACCATCAGTTGAGTTGCTGCTGGGACAAGTACTTATAGCAGTACCCCATCTGGGCAGAGGCCCAAGAGGAGGGCCAGTAGTGGAACTGCAGGGCTCCAGGAACATCAGGCTGCAGCTCTGCTCCTCCTCCAGCCCAAGCAGCTGTTACCCCTAAGGAGCCCACAGCTGGAGCCACCAGTGCCGGCCCCGAGTGATGCCATAGAGCCCATGCTTGTGCTTCCCAACAGCAAGACAGGAGCAGATGTCCCAGTCCCTGTTTCCAACCATCCCTGTGGCCCTGGCCTGTGGAGGAATTGCCACGTAAGGAGCAGGTGGTGCCATTTACAGTAAGTCCCCAGCTGCTGCACAGCCCTTTCCTGCATCCTACTGGGAAATGTGGCAGTAGACGTGGGAATGTCCTGGTGCTGCGGAGCTGAGCAGGAGGAAGTGAGTGAGGGGAGCGCTGCAAGGTCGGCATGTTTGTGAGCTCCCTGCTTGGCTCTGCTGCCCTAGTGCTCACCAGTGTTGCTGCCCACTGCCGCCTTCCTCGGGGTCCCAGTGCAGGGCTGGGGAGTCCTGCTTCCCTGTGCCTGGCTGGGTTTTGCCTCATGGCTGGGGGACTGGCAACAGAGCCGTGGTGTCGGCTGAGCCCTCCACTGCCCCGCTGCCTGCCATGCCAGGAACACTGGCTATGGTGGTTTCCTGTTTTGGATCTGCAGAGGCTGGTACACACCAGAGCAGGTTTCCTGCACCCCTGACCCCGTAGGGTTCAGGTTCTCCATCCCAGCGTACACTTCCTTCTTGTGCCAGTAATGAGCCAGTGCTGTGATGGGAAGCATCAGCAGCTGCCCAGTACTCCATGGGGAGGCCAGACTGAGGCAGGATGAGGGGTTCCAGAGGTTGTGGGGCAGCCACTTGTCCCTTCCTGACCACTCTTCTGTGCCCCAGCACCTCCTCGGGCTCTCATTGGGCCTGGTGCTCTCACCTTGCTCTGCATGGCCACCATCAGTGTGGAGGAGGTGATGGCACTGGAGACAGGCTGCACTTACAGATGCACTAAGTTCTGCAGCTGTAAGAGAGACCCAGGGTGTGGGGATCTACAGGACCCCAATATCCCAGCCCTGCTCCTGGAGCCCTGCCCAATTCCATCTGGCTCTGGGCACCGTCACACAGTGACAGGATCTGATTACCCCGAGAACTCTTTCCCCATCCAGGAGCCCTCCCAGGGGTGAGCTCAGCTGCGGGGCAGAGGGGAACTGGCTGCGGGACACTCTTGATCGGCTGCTTACGAAATGCGGGGCCAAGTCCGCTTGGCTGCTCTGGAGCAGGCGAGAGGTTTGTGAAACCTTGGGCAGGGATTTGCCCGACAGCTGCCGTGTCACTGCTACCCGTGAGCTTGGCTTTGTTCCAAGAAACCCGTGGGGCTGGTGCAGCTTCCCGGACTCTCGACTCAGCCGTGGTTGCAGCACTGTGAGGAAAGTGGCCCTCAGATGGTGATGCCAGGGCCCTTCTGGGAAGTGGAGAAGCCAGAGCTGTTCCTGCAGGGATGGAAAGGCTGGGGTCTGGCTGGGGGTCTTGGGCAGGGCCACTGTGGGCAGCCTGGCAACCCTCTCTGGGGTCAGCTTCCCGTTCTGCCCCACCATGGGGTGCTGTGAAGCCCTTGCCTGCTGGGGGGGCTGAGGGTGCTCATAACCTCCCAGGGCTCTGGTTCCCCCTCCCCTTCTGCACCATGTCCTGCCCAGGAGCAGTGATGCTCTGCAGGGCAATGCTCCTGCTGGCTGGGGGATGCTGTGCCCACAGCACTGTTCCCACACCATCCCTGGCACAGGGTTGGGAGTCACCAGCACTGCTGGGAACCCTGACATGGGGGATGTGCCTCAGCAGGGCCTGGCGGGCAGCCACCCGTGTGCGTGGACATTCCTTGCATAGCTGCAGCGGGTGCCCAGGCAGGCCATGGCGCTTCCTGGCAGCCTGTGTGCCATGGCCCTGCAGAGCAGCACCAAAATAGTCACTGGGACTGTGCCATGGCCACAGCCTGAGCTGGCACACTCACTATCCCTCTGCTCTGGGGTGATCCCTAAGGAAAGTCTTTTCCCAGCAGCTGGGGTTCCCCAGAGGTGGAGTATGGTGCACGATGCCAGGCATGACGCCCACAGTGCAGGGCTGTGGGTGCCAGAGGGGCTGGGAAGCACGAGGCACCTGGGCACAGCCTGCTCCTCACAGCCAGGGGCTCTGGGAAGATTGTGGAGGGCTGACCCCTTCCCAGGGGATCACCCACATCCATAGATGCAGCTCTCCAGCTGGGCGCCGCGCTGCTTGCCAGTGAAATGGAGCTGCAGGTTTATTCACATGCCCACTTCATACCCTCAAGGCGCAGGGGCCAGGCACTCCTGAGGGCCGGGAGATCCCTGTGGGCATCCTCTCCCTCCTCCTCCTTCTCCTGTCATCCCCTTCCTTGGGCATCTGTGCCCGGCTCAGGGTCTGCACAGCTGTGCTGTGGGGGTGAATGTCCTGAGCCTGCCGTGCTCCCAGAGGAAGCACCACATACCCTTCCTAACCGCACCTCTCCATGCCCTGTTCCCGCAGCTCCTGGCCCCGGCACGTGCCAAAACAGGGCTGGGGGCAGGCAGGACTCGAGTGCTGCACAGAGGCTGTGCCGCCAGCTCGGCTCCTCCATACCCGGGGCCATGGGCTGTGTCCCGCCATCAAGAGACTGTTTGTGGTTGCACCATGTGGACGAGCCGGGAGCGGATCCCGTCCCCGCGGCTCGGCTCAGACATACCTGAGTGCTGGGACAGCGCTTACGCAGACAGAGGGGCTGAGTCACTGCGGCGGGATCACCCGGCACGGACAGCGGCTCCAGGAAACGGCACTTACGTGGTGTAAACACATCCCGGCATTGAGCCTGGGCCGAGTGGCCCCGGGGGTGCAAGGGAGAAATCAAACCAGATCTGAGGTTTTTCATTAAAAAATAGTGCTCTTTATTATAAATTATGGAAACATTTCCTTTCTGAATATAAATATAAATATGTGCAAAGTTTCATCTGAGTTTGGTTTTGGTTGAATTTTCAAGCATGGTTTTGCTCAGCCCTCAAGGCTGGAGGTGAAGATGGAATCTTTATAAAAGACAGTGATTCACGTTGGCCTGTAAACATCCCTTTGGTTAAAAAAAATAATAAAAATTAAAAAAAAAAAAGCCAGAAAAACCCAACCACTTCTCTGGGTGGATGCAGAAAAGCACTCATGAGACGACACGCTCCAGGGTATCCTCCCACCACGTTCCTGCGGGAATCGGTGGCCAGGGTCTGTGGGAGCGGCTGGGCAGAGGTGGGGTGCAACTCCTGGTAGTAAGGGCCCGGGGTGCTCCTTGCAGACACGGTTGTGTGGGATTCAGCAGCATTGGGACGTGCCACTTCCCCTCTGGCTTCACATCAGCAGGACCTTCATCACGCAGCGTCACCAAATGATGTGCAGTAACCCAGATTGTGGGGCAGGGAGAATTTTAAGGCTTAGTCCCCTGGAAAATGGCAACGAGGGAACAAAGGCAGCAACCTCCAAGTCTGGGGCCTGGTGTGAAAAGAGCTTCCACCCACAAGGAGGCAGTAAGAGGTAAAGTACAGTATGGGCAAAAAACGCCTTCCTCTTAAAACCGAGGAAAAGCGATCAGGCACTCCTGGGCTCCAGTGCTTTCAGTTCCCGGGGGCGGAAGGGGCTCTCACCAGGACACCCCCAGGATGGGGTTGCCGAAGTGCACGTTCCTCTGTGTCACAGGAGCCATCCTGGCTACTCAAGCCCACAGGAGCTTTGCCAATGGGCTCACTGTAACTTCCACAGTTCGGCTGGAGCCATCCCCCTTCCCTGTGGAGAGGAGGTGTCGTGCTTCCTCGGGGGTCCCCCCAGCACCAAAGGTGCCCAGCTATGCTGGCCACAGCCCTGGGCCCACAGCGGCTTTCCCCAGTCCCCCTCCTCTCCTTCCCAGAGGGAGAGGCTCGGCGTGCCCTGTGAGCTCCCACGCTGGTGGGGCATTGTGCCTGTCCCTTGCTCTTGTGCTTGTAGCGTGTGACCTTGCTCTGCTGGCCCCTTAGAGGGGGGCATCATACTGGTCCAGGAACTCCTTGATGGGGGCCGGCAGCTGAGTCATCTTTTCATAGGAGTCCAGGTGCCCGTTGACGGTCTTGCGGCACAGGTGCTGCAGGGTGGACACGCTGGAGGAGAGCGGGCGGCTCAGCACCAGGGGGATCTTCTCGCCACCTGAGTAGATGTAGTAGGTGCGCTTGGGGTGCAGGGCCCCCCCCGGCTGCTCGGGGACGGCGCAGGGCGCGGGTGGCATGTAGTGATGGACCAGCTTGAGCACGCAGTCGAAGCGGGGCACGGGCTGGCTGCTGTGGGGGTCGCTCTGCAGGGAGAAGCTGCCGCCCTCACACTGGATGCGCAGGTTCTTGGTGCCCGACTCCGTCTTGACGCTGAGGGTGAAGAAGTGCCGCTGGTCTGAGCTGTCCCTGATGAGGAAGGTGCCGGCCGGCTCAGTGCTCAGCAGTAGGTTGGCCTCGCCGCCCGTCACTGTGCTCCAGTAGAAGCCACTCTCCTGCAGCTTGCGCACGGTGTTCACCACCAGCTGGTACTCGCTCTTGGAGCTGAACGTCTTGAGGCGCAGGCTGGTGTCGAGGGGGTGGCTCATCCCGGCAGCGGGGAACTTGCTGTGGGTGACCATGGCGCAGGGAGC